TATCTCCGATGAAGTTGCTAGCGTTACATAGACAAAGTTCTCCTTAGTGTGTGTGCTGTACTTAATAAGACAATTTTCTGTATGTCTCTTAAGCTGGGGTTTCCAGGATTCTTTCAATGTGTTGTTTTGTTCCATTTTTTATAATTCCAAGTGCACCTATTACCACTGGTATTATTCTTGTTTTCAATTTCCACATTTTTTCTATTTCAATTTCCAGGTCTTTGTATTTTGATAGTTTTCAAATTCCTTGGTTGCTATGTTACAATCCGCTGGACAAGCCATATCAATTAGTAGGCAAGTTTTTTTCTTTCTGGTTTTTGACAATAATGTCCGGCCTATTTGCTTCAATTTTTTCTGTCTGTGTGGATGGTATAATCCCATAGAATGGTGACATCTTCTATTTCTGTAACCGGCGCTGGCCGATGTTCATACCAGTGTTTGCTTACACATTTTCCAAAGTGTTTTCACATTGTCCAGTGTAAGTATTGCCCCACTCTATCGTGACGATTTTTATATTCATTTGGGGCAAGTATAGAACATCCTGAGATTAGATGGTCTATTGTTTCTTGGTATTTGTCACAGAATCTGCATTTTGGATCCACATTATTATGTATGATATTTGCCTGAAAATTCCTAGTGAAAAGACTCTGGTCTTGCGCTGCAAGAATAAAGCCTTCAGTTTCAGACTTTAATCCAGATGCTCGTAACCATCGATGAGTTTATTATTATTATTATTTTTATTATTATTATTAATTTTATTATTATTATCATCATCATGATCATTATTATTATTATATTAATATTTCTTCTTCTGCAACTTATTCTTCTACTACAAATAGTTCTTCTTCTTCTTCATCTTCTTCTTCTTCTTCATCTTCTTCTTCTTCTTCTTCTTCTTCTTCTTCTTCTTCTTCTTATTATTATTATTCTTTATTTCTTTGTTTACTTATGTATTCATTTATATATGTGTAGGATGTATAATAGCATTCGCAACAAAAGGTAAGATGAAGAAACAATGTGTAAATTTTTTGTCAAAGATGCGTTTCGCCAAAGAAAAAGTAGGTTCTCTTTTGCTTCTTTAGTTTGATTAGCAGAAACACAAAACTTGTATGGGAAAATTGGGTACCATAAATCAAATTGATTACCCTAGCTTATTACCTGGTAACTTCAGCCTTGAAGAAAGCCTGCAAGACTCTTTCCTTGTTTTATCCATATCTCTCTTAGAGACGTTTGGAATAGAAGAATTAGAAAACAAGGCATTTTATCATTATTCTACATGGATAATTACACACATCAACACACACACACACATATATATATATATATATATATATTAATAATTCCACATATACCTACGTTTCATGTGAGACATAATTTTCATGGTTACCCAAATCGTCGGGCACAAAATAAAACGTATTGTTTATTTTTAAAAAATATATTTTCTTACATGAAAAATTAGCTATATCTTGTGCCCGGCAAGTGAGGTAACCAACGAAACTTATACCAAACGTAGTCATATGTGTATTCCTTAATATATGTACTTAGATCTGTCTAATCCCATTGAGCACTATTATGTTTACACCTCTTGGCTAAATTTGGTAATTATTTGTTTGCTCACCAATATATATATATATATATATATATATATATATATATATATATATATACGTTTATATTGACATATATATATATATATACTGTTACTTATGTGCGCCAACGTATATACCCACTCAAGCGTATACATGTATTAGAGACTTTTTTACAAACTGTTATTATGTGTAATTATCTATATATTTGCTTGTTTTTTTATTAGCATATTATTATTATTATTATTTTTATTATTATTATTATTATTTTCTTTGATTTCTGGCGTTTACACATTTCTTTCCGGGTCCCGCCCAGGGACCTAAGATTAGAAATGGCATCATGACACTTTCCACTGACAAAAAAAAAAAATAAAATAAAATAAATTACATAGATAAAGCCCTTCGTAAGGTGTGGGCTGTGCTTGTCAGAACAATTTTTTGTATCTCCTTGAGGCATGGACTTCCAGGAATCCCTTCAATTAGTCTACTGTAATCTTTTCCAACCAGTCGTAGGGCTCCAACTTCAACAGGGATTGTTGATGTTCCCTGTTGATATGCCACATTTTCGAGATTTCTATTTCAAGGTCCTTGTACTTTGACAACTTTTTGAATATCAAAGATACATTGCAGTCAGCAGGGACTGCCATTTTTTATAGTTATATATTTTATTACAATTTAATTAGTTTTCAGTTTTTCATTAGTAAACACATTATCTTCCCTATTATTATTTTACTTTTTTATTTTTAATTATTGTTGTGGTAGGATCCACCTAATTAGCATAGTGGAGTACCGACCATATAAATATGGTTGGTACCGGGAAGAGAGGGAGGAATCAAAAGATTCAACCAGAGACTCTGTCCGACTGCGACTCAGTAAACACATTCTCCAGGAACGGTCTTACCAGGAATATACAAAAGACTATATGTAAATATTGTGTACACTTTCTTGTTTCAATACATTTTGTTCTAAGTACATTTTGTGTTGCATTATTATTCCATGCATTAGTCAAGTTTCAACAATTATGTATTTTCTTTTTATTTGTATTTCAGAATAATAACATATTTATTATGACATGGTCCTGAGAAGTAAAAAATGTTTTCATGGATATTTGTTTGAAAACGTGATTCTTCAATTTCTTCTAATCTTTTTCATCTTCCTATTGCTGTTGTTTTTGTTACAGTTTCTACTGTTAGCAATAGTTATTATGGTTATAAGCGATATTACTGGATTTTTTTAATGATATTCTGCCTCCTGTTTTATATCCTGAATCTAGCATTCCTTTACTCCATTTTTTTTTCATTTTCCAGATGTAAATCGCCCTTTGCTACGTTGTCTTTTTCATTTTCTTCTGATTTCCGTTTACTTAGCCTTTCCATCATTATTTTTAACATTCACAGTATTTACAAAGCGCTCACCAATCCCATGATCCTTTACTTGAAGGCTGATACGCCAAAGAGACAACTGGCGACACAGTCGCATTAAACTTCACTCACTTATCTAAGGTTTTATTTTTAACTAGCAGTAGAGCCCGGCGTTGCCCGGGGATGTAACAGTAAGAGATAGATCAAGTATCGACCATCATAAAGACTGAAAAATAAAAATTGATAAAGATTATTGTTTAAGGTTGACGAACCCGCATGTCTTAATTATTTATTTTTTTTTTACGAATTGATCAAACCCAAACAAAAACATACTTTTCAATCATTATGAGTCTACCAATTGAATAGAATTTTATTATAAACAATTGTCTTGTAAATGGAATTTTTCAAGCATTCTGAATGTAAAAATAAAGAAAAAAGTGTGCAAGACAATAAGAAACACTACCTGCCAAAAAAAAGTGAAGTTTTGTTGAAATCGGTTGAAAAATGTAGGAAATCCGATCCCATATATAAACGAACACACACACACACACACACACACGCATACACACAAACAACCACCCTGCGTTTTATAATAAGTATAACTCGATAACAATAAGTATAACTCGATATGAGTTGTCCCCCTTTCATTCTCAAAACTGCGATGCCTGTTAATCGTGTTTTCAAATTGATTTCGTGCAAAAACAATTGTGTTTTTTTCAATTTTTGGCACTGTCAGAACCACCGCAAGGTAATTTTACGTAGTCCTGTGAAGTTTTGTTGAAATCGGTTGAAAAATGTAGGAAATCCGATCCAATATATAAACGTACAGACACACACACACACACACACAATCTGCATTTTATACTAAGTAAGATTCGAGCTTCGTCGCCAGCATCTCACTTTTCTTGGTGACTCAACTCAGATATTACATAATAAATGGCATCTAAAAAGAATACTTTTCGATGCCTTGCGAAACAAAATATGTTTCCATGTGTCTCAAGTTTAAGACAAAGTAATAAAAGTATATGTAATTCCACGTCACCATTTACAGACGTAATGTCTTTAGAGACACACGTGGAAGTTAATCTGGCTTTAGGGTCTTCCATAGTTTATTTCTTCTTTGTGTTCATCGCTTTAAAACATCACCCTTAGCTAGAGAATGATAATAAAGTAAATTTGAAAGGAAAAAAAAAGAGAGCGAATAATTAAACGGTAAACTTTGCATATTTTTTTTCGGATTAGTTTTAAAGATTTCGCTGTGTGTGCCTTTGCGCAAAAGGAAAGCGTAGGCATATTTATACGGATAATGATAAAGCAAAGCGTGCAACTATATTCGTAAAAAGTAGGCCAGTAAAAGTTTGCATGCATAACGCCATTTACATTAAATCCATGAATGCGAGTGATTCTAATATGTATATACTGGTCCGAAGTGGTTATATCATTCCGGGAAAAATATCTTTGTAACCAATAAGTAAAACGGTTCTCGATTATATGGTTTCCATGGATGAAAGCTATTGGTATCAGAGACCACTGGCAAAGATGGAGTTACTTTCCTTGGCTTCTAATAAAATATTTCATGGACAATTTTAATAGAAGCCTAAAAATTCGTTCAGTGGTTTATAACTATATTTTTCAGAATGGCAAATAAGGTAATGTAATTCTCCTTTACGTTTATATATATATATATATATATATATATATATATATATATATATATATATATATATATATATAATCAATGTTGTATAGTTCTCCTTAATGTGAGAGAAAAGGACAAACGAAGAAAGAGAGGAAACAAATAGTACGAAGGCAAATTTAAACAAAATATAGATATAAATTGTATCATCAAATACAATTACACAGCTAGATTGCTAACTATTCACATAAGTATGGCATTAATATATATATATATATATATATATATATATATATATATATATATATATATGTATGTATGTATGTATGTATGTATGTATAAACCGAGAAAGAGTAATAAGAGACTTGTACATGAAGAGGCTGAAGTAGATAGATATATATGAATAAAGAGAGAGACCTTTTGTGAGAAAGGGAAGGAGAGTGAGAGTTGTTAGGATAGACTGAATCTATAGATAAGTAGACAGACATACACACGAATAACGTAGGAATTGTATTAGAAAGATCGAAAGAAATAAGGAAAGAAAGAAAGAATAAATGGTAGAGGTTGAACCGAATAGATATATAAATGTGCATGCATTCATATTGACTGATTGTAGATAGCGGTATTGTCTCATATATATATATATATATATATATATATATATATATATATATATATATATATATATATAGAGAGAGAGAGAGAGAGAGATAGATAGATAGATAGATAGATAGATATTAGTGTAAATATACACATCTCAACTTAAAAGGTATTTACGTGTATTTACGATTCCAATGGAATAAATTATGACCATGGAATATTGGTGTTTAAGCCTTTTATATATATATATATATATGTGCGTTTCTCTGTGTGTGTGTGCGTGTGTCTGAAAACATAGACAGATACTAGTAAACATTTTATCAGTGTGCTTGTAAGTATGTACTGATCTGTATGTGTCTGCATTAAAAGGCATCTATTTTGAACGTGTGTGCCATGACGTCATGCCTACATATGCGCATGATCTTCCATATTCACTTTTGCGCTTTCTTCACTTTCCTTCTCAAGCCTCGATTTTTTTTTTCCTTTCAGTGCATACGCATATTTTATGTTTCAGAAATCTCTGCACATTTAGCTACATCAATTTCTTTCTGAAGTATTTTGTGCACAATTCCCGTATTAAAATCACTGTCATTGCCTTCCCAAATGGTGTAGAAGCCACAGTCACTCATTCGTCGGCAGTCTGATGCCGAACATGACTGCGAGGAAGCCAGTAATCGCCTGGAAGTACTAAAATTCTTTGCACGATGCAGGGCATTTCAAACAGATCTAAAAGGCATTTAGGCGAATGCGTGAAATGAAAGACAAAGAGGAAATTTGAAAATCACTTCAATTCCAAATTCGTTGCAGCGTAAATACAGAATCGGATGTAAAGAAAGGCAATGCGTTTAAGACAGAAATAGATTTCAAATTTCTTAAATTGAGTCTGGCAAAGTAGGACAAAAATTGCAAAATCATTGAGAAAATAATCAAAATATATAACTGTATATTGAACATCAGAAAGTTCATTGAAAAAATCATCGATGTATGTATAGATGCAGATAAAAGGAATTGCATGAACCATATATATATATATATATATATATATATATATATATATATATATATATATATGTGTGTGTGTGTGTGTATACATATATATATATATATATATATATATATATATATATATATATATATATATATATATATATTATGTGTGTATGAAGGCGTGCTGAAAAGTTCTCGAACCGTTGAACCTTCCAAAATTCCAAAACACACACACGCGGGCACATATATATATATATATATATATATATATATATATATATATATATATATATATATATATATATATATATGTATATATATATATATATATATATATATATATATATATATATATGTATATATATATATATATATATATATATATATATATATATATATATATATATATATATATATATATATATATATATATATATATATATATATATATATATATATATATATATATATATATATATATAAAAATGATAACAATATTTAATGTATGAATATTTATGCGATAATTGCACAACATCAGAGATAGAACGTGCGTAAACATAAAAATGGACTTTGTGGACAAAACACAGTCGCGCCAGACTGTTTCATGCTTAAACGTCATCTTCCAGCCATACGGTGGTCAATGATGCATTATGTGAAGCTCTGTTGCCATATTTGGGACATGACCTTTATCGCCCACCCAATAACCGCTATTGGCTGGAAGATAACTTTTATATTTCTAATGATTATTGAGGCGACTGAAAAGAAATAATTATGAATCTTAGTGTGGCCATTTGTGGCCATTTTGTAATGTTTCTTGTTTCCTTATTTATTTTGGATTAATTTATTATTTATCGTTGATTCTTGTCATTATGTTTACTTGTGTTTATATATATATATTGTAATTTGATAATTTGCTTATTATTTACTTAATATATACTTAATATATTACTTATATATATATATATATATATACAGTCGACTCTCCCGTCGGATTCGACGTATGAGGGTCAAGCAGATCAGTTTCAAGGAAACCGTCAGCGTCACGTGAAATCTGATTATAGTGGTGAAGGCTTCATGCAGGACCATTCCTACTTTTTGAAGGGACGAATACAGAGAGCTGGTGCACTAAGTGCCACAAGGTTCCCCAAACGACCCTCCGCAGGTTTTGAATTCAGAGTTGTCCTTCTCCTAGACCAGTTGCCATCCAAGGCTATAGAACCCAGTCTGTCCTGATATTTTACCCATGACTGGAGGGAGATGAAGGGTATTCATATCTTTCCCAAGGGTATTAGCACGAAAGCGAATGTAATGGATTCGATTGGAATATATATATATATATATATATATATATATATATATATATGAAAGGTGTTGAATAATTCTCGGTGTTATGAAACTCCTAAATGGACATTAAAGTGACTAAACATACGATATGTTTAAAAGACCAAGGCCAGGTGTATATGTAGAGGGTGATTGAAAAGTAACTGCCCATTTTAAATGAATGATAATTTATTTAAAAGAATTGGATATGAAAGGAAAGTTTTTTGCATGAGATTCTATTTAAAAATCGATATGGTCACCAGACTTCGATACCAGCTTCTGGAGCTGGTCAGGAATAACGTCAACTGATTTCATCAGCTACTCATGTAGTCTGGAGTGTATTACTTCTTGTATTTACACTTCAGGTACTTATATATTATTGGTTTCGTATAGTAGACATTATCCTTTAAAAAGCCCCCGAGAAATAAAAAAACTGGGTGTTGAGTCAAGCCACTCATACATAAATTTGGGAGTTACTTTTCAATGAACCTATAAATATATATATATATATATATATATATATATAAAAAAAATATAGTCTTAAGGTGTGCTATATTTATGGGATAAAGTGCTCAATATCAGAGATAGAGCGTGTGTATATATAAAGTGAACATAGAGTCAACACTAGACGCGACAGTCTGTTTCATGGCTAGACGATTGCAATCGTCAGGCCACGACTGTCGCCTGAAGTGTTGACTTATGTTCACTTTATATATATATATATATATATATATATATATATATATATATATATATATATATATATATATATATATATATAATATATATTTGTGTGTGTGCGTCTGTGTTTATGTGTATGTGTTTATATATATATATATATATATGTATGTATATATATATATATATATACATGTGTGTGTAATTCTATATATATTATTTATGCATTATATATGTACGGTACTTATTGGACTTATTGGAATGCGCTCAATATCAGTAATAAAGCTAGCATACATAGCTGTATTGATGTGAGTTTGTGACCCTGGTATTCACAACCTTGCGAACTATCGCAAGAGCGTGAAACTGAGTGTCACATACTCACATCAATACAACTAAAATATATATATATATATATATATCTATATATATATATATATATATATATATATATATATATATATATATATTTATATAAATGCGAGACTTTTTAGGAAATAGATCCATATCATCCAGCAGCTATATTATGAGTTTCCACAGTAATGTTTTCAATACGTCAATCGGTGTATACCATAGTAGGCGTTCTGTCTGAATAGCTCTTTAAAACATTTACTGAGCGTTAGATATGTGAAACATTGGACGATCACCATGGCAGAATCAACATCGCAACATGAAAAATATCCGTAATTTGGATGACATTCATGTTCTATTTGGCATAGTTGACGAAATCGGCAGTTAGGTGAATAACGTCGAGGAAATATCTTCCGTATCTGACATTGTGATTAGTACCGAAAAGAAAAAAAAAATCCCCATGTCGAACGATAAGTGGTATTAACATTTAGAGAAATCTGTAGCCAGGAACATAAATCCAATATCCCGGATTTATTATAATTGAAGCGGTGTCACGAATTGAAACTTTTTGAAGAGCAGCACAAACAATATTAACTAGATTACTCTCAACGAATCCCTGTTCCTGAAACTTCAACTGTGACTGCCGCTCACTCCAGATATAAAGTGATATTTGTATATAGGATCCATCTCTAAAGATCTTCGAAAAAGTCAGTTATTTGTACAGTTCATAAATGTTACTGATTTCTTATGTTCTGCTCTATTTACAAGGGAAAGCCAAAAAATTGAAATGGTTTATGCTTGTCCATCAAGGCTGGAGTTTCCCAATCCTTACTTTACAAACTTGACAGAGATTTGTCTGGCCTTGTGGATGATGAACAATGTTCCATTTTGAAACTCCTTTTCCACAGAAGAAACATCTCGCAAATATATTTCAATATTCTTGGCAGTTGTTTAAACGAATTACATTCCCTATTTCCAACATTAAAGCACGTACACTGAATCGACTCGTCTATATTCCCTTCGTATTTCATTGGGAAGTAGGAAGTTTCATCCAGATTGTTCCTCCATAAGACGTTAAACTATATTCACGTCCTGAGTAAGACGTTAAACTACGTCCAGCAGCAAGGCCTCTGATCAAGATGTTTTGAATAACGTGGAACCACCTCTTAATTTCTGGTGTTCCCAGCTTCACCCTGACCCAGGGTGGTAACACCTGTTAGGGTCCCAGCTATGGCAAATTAGTTATACTTTTTGGAAAAAAAATTATTACCAGCAATAAAATTTTGAAGGAAAAATATTACCAGAAACAGATTTTTGACAAAACAAAATATTACCAACAATAAAAAAAAAATGTTGGCATTAAATAACCCATTGATTTTGATATGCCGTAAAACAAAATAAACCAAACCGAACCCAACAAAACCAGATTGTTCCATATTATCTTGTGGGTTGTCTCCCATTTACTAATAAAAATTTCAGAACTTAGCAGCAGGACGCCAGGAAAAAACTGATAACAACTTGACCATCATCGCTAATTCACACGTTCAGGCCATCCCAAATAAAGAAGTGCCAGAAAGTATAAGACCGGAAACAGGCCCGTTGGAAGACGCCCTTCTCACTATCAAAAAGAGGAAGTTGAAATGGTATGTACCCGTTTATA